GGGTTTTCTTGTTCTGTCTCTTCCCCATGTTAAGTTTACTTTTACATCTGTGATTCTCTGCTTAGTTTTCGTTGCTTACTTCCTGTTTTACTTTATTAGTCAGTCGTCTTGTGTTTTTAATTATCTGTTATCATCGTTTTGTGTTTGCTGACATGGAATTATCTGGATTTTTTTTGCCATTTCAGTTCATGGATTTTGTAACTCTGGGCCCTGAACTACAAAGCAAGTTCAACATACCAAGGGTATATTTCCATTATCTGTATCCACTGGCATTAACACTGGCAATCGCTATAAGCAGTCACATGAAACTATTATCAGCTTGCCAAGGCAACCCAGGGTTTTTCCTGCATATTCTCATGAAAGGGGCGGTGTTGCAGTGTCTGATCATTTAGAAGGGGCATTTTCTGGAACAGATGACTTCTCCTACACAGAAACTGTGTAACACAGAAACCTCTCAAGAAACTTCCAGTTGCTTTTCGTTCCAAGCTCCTTAGATTACTCTGACCTGGATGACTGAGAACCTCCACAGACAATGTGATGAATGCTGCAGAAAATCATTAATCTGGTGATTTGGCACACAAAGTGATAACAATTTAAATTCAGCTTAATTAGCCACTATGCTCTCTATGTTACTGTTTCTTTCTAAGGTGACAGACCCATTTAAACATTGAAGCTTAAATAATACTGCCCCACAGTTTAATAAAGGAGTTTGTCAGCATAGCCACCTTCTGACAGTTTTAGTTTTTATTCTCCCAGCTGCAGACTCAGAGATGTTTAAGGGTTTGGAAGATTATTTACAATCTGTTTTTTATATTTACAAGTTGGTCTATGTACAAATTTGATGTGAGATGAGCAAGTACAGGATAGGTGTCATATTTTAAGATGCTTATAGAAGAATACGACTATTTTTAAATTGTTTGCTCCAAATAAATATAACAAAGTCAAATAAGAAAGAGAATCTAAGCTCCAGGGAGGCAATATAAATTGGCCCCTAAACCTAATAACAAGTTGGGTCACCCTTAGCAGCAACAGCTGCAATCAAGCATTACTGGCAATGAGTGTTTTACAGCACTGTGGAGGAATTTTGGGCCCACTCATCTTTGCAGAATTGTTGTAATTCAGCCACACTGGAGAGTATTCGAGCATGAACTGACTTTTTAAGGTCATGCCACAGCACCTCAAGCAGATTCATTTCAGGACTTTGACTAGGCCACTCCAAAGTCTTCATTTTGTTTTTCTTGAGCCATTCAAAGGTGGACTTGCTGGAGAGTTTTGGATCATTGTCCTACTGCAGAACTGTTACGGATTCAAATATTGGGGATGGATACAAGAGGAAAAACCAAAATAACAACACTGGTCCGGCCGGGTTGAGTCAAACGATGATTTTAATGATCACACGCGTGGGAGATGGACACCGTACGCAGACAGCATCAGATCTCAAAATGGTGGAGCATTGATCAAACTCTTATAGCCTCTAGTGGCCCCCACCTAATCATAAAAGCCTAAACATTCACATTCTTTCTCTCACACAGCGCCTAAGCTACGACCTTGGCTCCCTGTTTATCTGCTCCTGCTGAGATGGGGCAGAAAACTCCAGTATGTTCTGTTCTCTTCTAATCAGACAAATAAGGCGATGACTTTCTGCGAACAGTATTTCTTATAACTCAGCAGTATAATGCATCATAAAACAATATCATTCATTCACAATAAATCAGCAGTCTAATGTAATGCAAATCAGTTTAACAAATGCAATAGTTATCACCTTCTTCTAATTCAGGAGAATAATGCAAACTAAAACTACATAATAATTCACAATCTTTAATTAGGGGTCTAACATGGCATAAAATAATATTATAATCTCACAGAACCCAAGTGCGCTTCAGCTTGAGGTCACAAAAAGACAGCTGGAAATTGTTATTTCAGTAATTACATTATATGTGGCATAGTATGACAATGTTTGAGACAGGACAGGCAGGTAAGAAAAAAAGGAAAGGGGGCAGAAAATGGGGAAAAATATAATAAATGGACAGAGCACAAATACAAATAGACATGTAGAGTGTATCACCAACTGCTGCACCTGTAAGAAAAAAAACAAGCATACAGCATGTCCATCCTAGCAGGAGAAGCAAGGACGCCCCAGATGGGCCACACTTGGACAAAGCTTCAGAGTCCCAGAGGACTAGAAGCAACAGGCAGTCAACCCCGCTAGAGACTGGCCACCCTGGTACAAGCCGAGAACAGTTTTTAGTTTTTCTTTTTGCTATATTTACTATAATTTGATTTTCACTGTGCAACTGAAGAAACATATTTAAAAACTCTCCGCTGCTTGACTTCCTCTGACCATGTGGTGGCAGCAGAACTCAATATCTGACTTACTACTAATACTCATACTACTGTCAGTGAAACATATGTACAGCTTGTTTAGTGGAACTAATCTACATGTATACAGACTCTATCTGGAATTTTCGTTAACCAAAGGAAAGGAATTTAGCCAAACAATTCAATATGATAAACAAAATGCAGCTTTAAACTTACAAATGAAAGCAGAAAAACATTCAACATGTTTCATTTTGTCTCCCAGAAATGTTTGATGATTACTTTATGGTTTACAAAATGTCTCACATAGGATGATTTCAAAGTATAAGGTTAGGATCACTGGGCAGTAACTGTTATTTGACATTTGGATTAGATTTTTATAAAAGGAAAGAAATTAAAGTTAGCTTTATTGTCAGCTCCAATATGAAGAAAATTGTAGAAACATAGAAATAAAAAATACAAAAACCAAAATACACAAAGTAAAATAAGAAACTTAAGACAAGAAAATGCCATAAAAAAACTGTGTAATAGAGTGAGTTGTATAATACAGGTATGATAATGTCCTTAATGTATGTTACCACTTACGGTAAATGTTTGGTTTTTTTCACATTCTGCAAATAAAAGAGACAAATTGATATGAATTGGCTGTCCACTAAACCTCTAAACCTTGCAGTGCAGGCCTGTCGCCCTCTACAGATTTTCAGTAAAGCAGTGCAAACCGAGCTCTCATAAGAGCTTAAAAATCAGGGTGATAAAATGAACCGTATGTTTGTTCTAACATCAACTTCATTTCCTACTAAATAGTTTTTTCTCTTTTTTAGGTTGTGATAGATGTACTTTATTTGCTTTTACAGCTAGTAGCTCTTCTTTAAGAGTTCCCAGTAACTCTTGGAACTTTAGTGGATAATTTTTCTGTAACTTTGAAACTGAAACAGAGTTTTAAATGACAAAGAAGTGTCTTAGTTAAGTAAACATTTTGACAAAATAGCACGTATTTTCCTATTTTTTTATGCCACGGCTTTATTTCCATATTTTCATGAGCATTATCAAGTGTAACGATGTTGACGCTAGATTCCGTTTCATCTCAATATATGCATAAACTTAAAAAGCATTTAACATTGTGCTTATAGGAAATCATATCTCAGCCTCTATGAGACAGATTTATGTCATGCAAACTTTCTATTTACATATCACAAATCAGTGGCAGAAGGACATGAGACACATGACTGATGATCAGGCCATATAACAAATTCCCGGACCATGCTTAACAGTAATGATGGCTGGGAAACCCAGTTTAAAATAATCCAGACTGCACGGCATATCACTGCTGTGGGGCAGTCTCAGCACACAAACCCTCTGTACGAAGTGTAATAAAATCTAGAACATGCATTTTTTTTTTTAGGATTGTTCAAAGATCTAAAGCTTCTGAAAAGAAGTTAAAAAAAACATATTGACATGGTGCAGTTTGCACATGCCCTCCATCCACTGTATACTGTCATTCGATGTGGCTAAAAATAATGTTTGTTTAATGTTATAGTAATTTTTTTTACATAGCTAGACTGGTGATTCAATACTGGACCTCCCGGTATGTACCCATAATGGACGATTTGTATTACAAGATTCTGAGAATTCTTCCCCTGGAAAAACTGACATTCACCTTAGATGACAATATTGAGGGATTTAATTAAATCTGGCAACTGGTGGTGGATTCAATCGACCTCTCTGGACTGGAATTTTGTACATGGTCTGATGTGACTAAGTCTGGCCATTGACTTCAAAATGGGGCACTTCGTCATTGGGGTACTCTGCTTTGTTGTGTACATCCATAGAATCTGCACAACAGGTTAATTGATATCCTGCTGTTTTTAGTCTGAACTGTTAGATTTTTAGTGTTTATTTGTTGATTGTTGGTAAATTTTCCTTTTAAAAGGAGAAGGTTAATAGCCACAACATAAGGAAAGGTTGTACTGTATAAAGCAAGTCTATTATTTTGATAAAAGCCTGCAAATTAAATTTGTTTTTTAAAGCCATTTAAAGGCTTTTTGTTTTTAAAACAAGTGGAAACACTGAAAGCTTTCAACCAGCTCATAAAACTAATGATGGCATGAGTCTTCTATGAGCTGTCTACACCTGATTAAAGCCAGATGCAGTTCTCAGCGGATGGCAAAATCAAAAAGAGGGGGTAGAAAGGTAGAGTTGTTTTGGTCTCAAATCAGAAATCCATTAGATATGAACTAGCTGACTGATAAAGTTATGAATCAATTGTGCCAGACTGTGCTGTTTAGGAAACGACATTTCAAACAAATGGGAATGCACAGAGAAACTCCTCCTTTTATATTCAAACTCTTAACCTGAGGGGGTGGACAAAAGCTAAACATCTGCGATGTGTTGAGTTTCAGTCAGAACACTCACACTGACACAGAGGAAGTGAATTTTCCATCTCAGCTCATGTGTAAACTGTGGGAATCCATTTCTACCAGAGGTAGAAGTTAAGAATAATGAATATGAAAATATTCATGTTGAATACTTAATTTGAATATGATTTATCCCAACTTTGGCATGCTATTAAAGCTTCACATTTTTAAAATGATTCTTTCATTTCTACATGGAAGATCGTATAATGGCATCCTGTATTCTGGACCAACTGCAAGCAGCGTAAAGATGACTGTTCAATACCAAAGCACAGGGAATTACAGTAGTCCAGACAGGAAGTAACAAAATCATGAATAACTTTTTCTAGGAACTTTGGATTATTCAAATAAAATGTAAGCAAAAAGCAGGACAATTGCAATTAGCCTACTCTAACTTCTGGATCTGAATTAAGCCTTCACTGAATGCCTTAAACCTGCTCGTTTCCCACTGACCAGCAGGGGGCGACTCCTCTGGTCTGTTTGTACAGAAGTTTTGTAGTGTGGTGTTTAGTGTTTTCCTTTTGATCTTGTTCATCTGCATCCTCCGCTGCTACTCCATTTCAACTTCTTCCTGAACTAGTAAGGGTTCTAACATGAGAAATCCTAGATGAACTTGCTTATTTACTCTTAATATCGTTGGTTATCATTTCAGATCAGACATGCGACCCTCCCATCTCCAGACAGCTAACAAGAACTAGCTAAACAACAACATAAATATAAGCTAACGTCGTGCCAGCTAACATTAGGTCCTAGAAACCCGACCGTCTTTAAGTACTTTTCTCACCAGTCCTCGATCTCCTGCTCCCTTCTCCTGTCACTCGGGAACAAGAGATACTTAAACTCCTCCACTTGGGGCAGGAACGCGTCTCTGACCTCGGCTGTGAACTGTTCCAGTGCGAGCTGGAGGCCATTACCCAATGAAGCCAACAGAATCACGTCATCTGCGAAAGGCAGAGATATCCTTAAGTCTTAATTCATCATTTTAACTCACCAGGACTACTAGCTACTAATCCATACAAAACTGGCGACTTCATCAACTGGTAGGTAATAATGTGTTATTTTTGTCCCCTCCATGTCAATTTGGATATTTCCATTATGAAATTACCCCAATGGAGCAAACTACAACTTATACTTCGTGTTAGTACGTCGACAGGGTGGTGTCTCAAAACATATTTAACAGTTTGTGCTCCTACTGTGAATGAACTTCCTGTATTTGGTCAATACATGCAACTTGTCTTGCCTCAAACTACACGTGACGAAATTCTTCAGCTGTGACATCAACATTTTATCACGCAAACACTAAACAATGCCACAACAACATGTGGTTTTACCTGTATTAACTGGGAAAAAAATAGCCTCAGAGCTGAAATATTTCTCTGCTAACCTAAAAATCAGCTGTTTTCATTCCTTAGAAAGGCAGTAAAATTATATCTTCAGTAGTTAGGGAGCTGATAAATTGCCATTAATAAACTGGTAAATGGACTGGTACTTACATAGCACCTTTCTACTCAATTTGACCACTCAAAGCACTTTGTAAGTCTGTTTTATCTAAACCTAAGCAGAGTAAAAATAAGCCTGATATTTGGTCTCCTTAGCATCCTTAAATTATTATTTCAATCATAGGATTAAACATGTTTAATATAAGTGTCCACCATTATAACATATGAGAGAAAATTAGAGCAAGTATTGTCTGTATCTTTTATTTATATGTAACCAGAATTTTAAAAAAGTTGTCATATCAATTGTAAACTAGACTATTCCAACTGAGCTGTTTTGTTACTCCAGACTGTGTCTTTTAGGTCAAACAGGAAGTGACCAAAATGTTTTCCTAAACCGCCTGCCCTCCACACTGATAAAACTCTCTCTCTCAAACGCACACACACACACACACTCCCTCCTCAGATATCTGTTTCTCCTCTGCTGTCATTCTGAGACACACACACATACACACACACTGGAGGAGGTAGATAACCGTGATTCCACTGCTGAATTTTTAACGCTGTTGTGGAACTTTTTTTTCTAGGCGGGTTACTGTGGCACCAGGGTACTGTTACACTGACAGAGTCAGAGAGACAGGGTTCAGTTCAGTTCTGTTGTTTACTGAAGCTGGACGGAAGCAGCTGTGCATGGAGTGTATATGGTAAGTCTCTCTATCTATCTATCTATCTATAGACATGCTGTGTGTTTTGTCCTGTTTTTAGCTATTAGTCCTATAATAAACGAGTTTTAGATATTTCATTCAAAAAAACTTCACTTTCAGAGCTAAAATCATGTTTGAAATAATTCTCGTTCTTTCAGTTTGTTTTGTTTGCTTTAAGTAAAACCAAATAATGTTGTTCATCACCTCTTATTAACTAGTCAAGTACAGTTATTTGGTCTGTATATTGTATGTATTACATGAGCGATTTGTTACTGCTCATCCTTAGCTTCAAGTTTATCCGTTTTGTGGGACTGGTGATGCTGTAACTTTTTAATTGCAACCAACAGCTTTCACTTGGTCTGCCCGGCCTTCACCACCACTAACTGTTGTACTTGGCACCTTTAAATGTGTTAATTATTCATTATAGGAGGGTTTTTGTGTGTCTCTGCTCTCTGGTGCATAGGAGAAGTCCCTTTTGGTTCCTTCTTTGATCTCTAGCTAGATTTTGGAATTGAGACCTAAGTTTGACATTTTCCAGAAGGTTTCTTGAGTTTATATGTTTTTAGGTTTGTAATTTTGATTCCCATCTGTGATGTTTGTTATAATAGTATTAATTGTCTCAATGCATTTGTTTTCACAGAGAAATCAAATTAAACAACGTTTTGGGTTTCTTTAGCTCATTTTTAACAAAGAATGACATGACTGAATGAAATGCATGAAGTGTTGTGTATGATAGTGATACGTGATACCACAGAATACATGGAAATGTAATGAAGGTGTAAATTTTGTCTGAAACTGCAATCACTGTACAAATTGTTCACAAATTTCTTAATTGGCAAGGGCATGTTATTTGTTGTGTTGTTCCCTAGCAAAGTGCTTTCTCCTGTACATAAATCAGTGAGTGAGGTCACTCAGACACCACTTCAAAAATGCATTTATTTAAAAAAAAAACAAAAAACCCTACTTTAAAACAAACACTATTTAAGGTTAGCTCGGCAGCTATCTGTCCACAGCAAAGTTATCACATTTTGAGTCCTTCTATGGCCTTGCAATCTTTTAATAATCCCTAAAAATAATCAACTGTACTTTCAGCTTTCAATTTACCTGCACGCAGACATATAGCCTGTATATAAATGATGGACATAGTCACTATAAAGTCACCCACTAATTTGTGGACACCTATTTTTAAGCAACAAGGTGAGCTTTTGGGCCGTCATGATCATAGGTTTTTTTTAAACCACATGTCACGGGTGAGGGGTGGACGTCACTGAGAACGAACGAAGTACTTTTGAAAAGTTACTGAATGAAAATCATGTTGCCATAAATTAGACTTTAAATTAGCTCAGTGGCTAATTTAAAGTAAATTGTCATCATCACATGTTGTAAGCTGCAAACTAATTTTCTCCTGCACTTTATACAGCATACAATCAGATTTATTTTTTAAAATCAAAGCAGTGGTGATTGCTGGCCATTTAAAAAAAAAATCCAGATATGAAGTTCTCATGAATTGGCATCACCTTTCTGATCTGTAGGCTCTTTCTATGCATTCACTGTCCATTGTATTAGGTACAACTTTTCACCCATTCAAATATCTAATCAGCCAATCACATAGCATTCAACATCAGAAGAAAGGTCATTTAAGTGCCTTTAATGCAGCATAGTTGTTGGTGTCAGATTGGCTAGTTTGAGTATTTTGGAGACTACTTATCTACAGGGATTGAATGGTCTGAAAAACAGAAACTATCCAGTGAGCTGTGGGTCTCTGGACAAAAATACCTTGTTAATGTCTGAGGTCAGAGGAGAAACAACTCAAATAAACACTGGTTATAATGATATGCAAATTTGCATCCCGTTGAATCTTGAAGCAGATGAGTTGTAAAAACACAAGACCACACCAAGTGCCACACCTGTCAGCTAAGAAGAGGAAATGGAGGCTAAAATTTGCACACGTTCACCAAAGTTGTAGAGTAAAAGACTGGAATAACATTTTCCTGTCCGGTGAATCAGGGTTTCTGCTACGACTTTTGGATGAATTTGGCGTAAACAATATAAAAACCATACATCCATACTGCTTTGTATTACCAGTTTATGCTGGCGGTAGTAGGGTTGTGATGGTATAAGGGGTGTTTTTCTTTGCACACTTAGGCCTCTTAGTACCGAGCATTGTTAAAACAGCACAGCCTAAAAAATGGAAGTTCAATCTGGTACTAGGTGTATCTAATAAACTGTCTAAGTGTAGTCTATGGCAGCGGTCCTCAACCCCCGGGCCTCGGACCGGTACCGGTCCGTGAGTCGTTTGGTACCGGGCCGCGAGAGTTGAGGCTCAGGTGTGAAATGTATAGTTTTCAGGGTTTTTACCGGTTTTCAGCGTTATTTTGTTATCGTTTACTCCGTTTTCCTTGGTCTTTTCACGTGTGTTATGAATACATTTTCTTTTTTTCGGTACCGGTATTAGTTTTATTTTGTTGTATTTATCCGCGACACTTTAAAGGCCGGTCCGTGAAAATATTGTCGGGCATAAACCGGTCTGTGGCGCAAAAGAGGTTGGGGACCGCTGGTCTATAGTATCTTCATTAAAGACTGAAGCACTACTGCTAAAACCTACGATCAGTGAAATTAAAGATGAATGAAGTTAAAGATGAATTTGTATATATTGTTTCTGCGTTTTGTCACCATATAATCCAATAATACAGCTGAGCTCTGAGAATTCAGATTAACTAAATAAACTTTTTTTCCTCTCTACAATATATCCTGACCACCATAACTTCCCCAGCTGTCACTGCCACAATCCCTCTGGATACACTTGTGGAGGTCAGTCTATAAAACCAGGCAGGAAATCCGGAGAACACAGTCACGCTCTCCTTTTGAAATACTGTTATTTATTTAACCTTTTTTTTTAACAAGGAAATCTCTGGTGCTTTATTATTCATTTTATAGTGTAGAGTAGTTAACATTATGCCACAAAAATAGACTACGCTTTTAGCAAACAAATGAAGGTCTTGCTGTGTTTCTCCACCTTCTCTGGTCTAAACCTAAAAACAGAGCGCATTTCTACATCACTGTGGCAAAAACAGAGGTGGTTATTTGGGAAAGACAACAAATTGCCTCTCTGAAAAAGTTTGCCAGGACCTTTTTGGACCAGATTTTCCTCTGAACCATTAACGGTCCTATTTCCTCCCTCAGGCCCCTCCTGTCCTAATGCCTTTACCGTAGGAACATGACCCTCAACACCCAGAGAGAGAAGGAGCCCCTCCAAAGGCGAGGCAGCACTCCAGTTCATCCCCTTTACCAGCAACCGCCTTGGATCCCCAGCAGCACCCAACCCAACCCAGAGCAGCCCCGTCCCCAGCGCAACCACCCCCCTCTGGGACAGTCAGCGTCCTACCACCCTGGAGACAAGTCCCTCCATTACCGTGCCCAGTGGAGTTCAGACTCTGATGATGACTCACAGAGTGATTCGGACTGTGTTTACAGAGTAGTGTTGCTTGGTGATCATGGAGTCGGAAAGACTAGCCTCGCAGGAATCTTTGCCGGGATAACAGACAAGGATGAACAACCTGGAGGTGGGACATTATGAGTGCTTGTTTTTTAAGTGCCTGGTGGTCATTACATCTAAATCGTCACACTTACTGATAGTTTTTAGTTAGTTAAGATAGTTAATTATTATTATTAGTAGTAGTAGTAGTATAGGTGTTGTTTAATTTAGTTGACAGGGTTAAAGTTTCCCGAAAAATGATGGACTTAACACCTTGAAAGATGTTCTTTCTGTTCAATATTGTAAAAAAATAAACTATTTCAGTTCAGTGCACATATTCAGGGTATTTTACAGGTAGGGTTCCTCTAGTCTTCTTGGAGAACTTGTCAGAGGATTCAAGCAGTCTCTTTGTTTTCATTGTCTTCATATGATCCCAGACTAACTTCATGATGTTAACTCAGCCCCATAAGAACAAATGGAGATATATGTTACCCTTTGCTGCGCAATACCATAATGTCAAATCAAAAATGCTGCAAAGTTTTAGCACAAGCCACAGATATGTTAGGCCAGTCACTTCTAGGAAGTTTCTCCGTTTGTGGATGTTAGCTCTCACCACAGATCGATAGAGTCCCAAAGCTTTAGAAATGGCTTCACGCCTTCTTAGACCGACAGATGAAGGACTTTGTTTCTCTGCTGTTCTTGAGTTTCTTTTCATGGTGGCTGCAAAGCTTTAGCACAAGCCACAGATATGTTAACTGACAACTGACTCTGTATAAATAGAAATTAGCCAAAAGGATTCCTTAACCACAGACAATTTTTAACCATGCTTTCACAATCTTTCACACTCAGACTCAGTGCACGGTGGATCAGCACACACTTTTTGTCTCTGACTTTGTTGTGAGATCAACCTTGGCTGGCCTGAGATTGATCATCTGTCACGTGTTGACTGGCCTCAGGCCATAATTGATAAGCTGCATCGATCAGGTGATAGTCTGACGTGATGCGAGGCGCAGTCTGTCTGCTGTTTTCAGAATGGTCATACATCCATGGGTTTACATGTTTTGTTTTTGTTACTTTTGTTTTTTGTTGTTGGTTAATCACTGATTGGCCTTTTTTTATCTTTTCAAAGTGATCTTTTATTTGCCTCCAACATCATCAACAACATATAATTTGTGCGTAATTGTTTGATTTTCAGAGAGATGAATGCAAAAAGGCTTCTTTTCTGAGTAATTCATAGCACAGACATTACAGATTATTATTCCAACGAAACATACAGAACATTTTGAAACATTAACATTTTGGCTTTTTTCTGTTTCATTTTTATGTGGGTTGTGCTGTCAGGGTTTACCTTATTGTTGTCTCTTTTTGGTCCACCATGTTGTTTATTATTTTAGTCATAGCTCTAGGGCTAACAGAGATGTTCAGCTGCTTCTGTCAGTGCTCCACTTTGGTTCAAACTAAAATCTCTGGACTAGATTTGGGTGATCTCGCTATAGTCCAGTCAACACCGAGACCGAGGGACAGGTTCAGGCTCATGTTAGGGTAACACTATCCACCTTTCATGTTGCATAGTGTGTGCGACCCATACACAAAAAAGAAGCAGTACTGCTTCTGCAGCCTTATGTTCCAAATAGGACAAAGAGGACAAACTAACTGTTACTGGTAAGAAAAAGAAAAACAGCCAAGGGAGTTTATTTCCCCCTTCAAACATAAAAAGAAAAAAATACACCATCAGGAGAATCTCCAGCTTGTTCACCTACAGCCTAATTTCTGAGCATAGCTTGACACATAATAATTGAACATCTAACTTTTGCCTGCATTTTTTTCCTCTTTGTTTTCTTTACTGCTGCTTCAGTATGTTTGTATACGTGCAAAATGCAACAACTGTCCACCCTAGACACACAGCTCAGTTTTTCACGCATCCAATGAAAATGAAGTTGAGGAGAGGTTATATACTAGCATTTCTGAAAATGCACAATTCCCTGCATTGCCCTTTAATTCAATATCAACCAATAGATTATGTTTTATAGATCAGTGTTGCTGCTCACACGCATTAATTTCAAAGAGGGCAGAGGGTTTTCCGGCGTGGACTGAGCAGCTCAATCTGATTAAAGTCCGGACTGTGACAAAGCCACACTTGCTGGTGTGTTCTTGATCATTGTCCTGTTCAGTTGCACTTGAGTGTCAGGGCGCAAGCTTGATGGCCAAACATTCTCATTCAGGAATTTCTGATGGAGAGCAGAATTCATGGTTCCATCAATTACGGTAAGTTGTCCAGGTCCTGAAGCAAAGCATCCCCAGACCACCACACTACCCTCACATTTGGTATGATGTTCTCATGGAATGCTGTTATTTTTATGCCAAAATGCTCAACTTTTGTCTTGTAAGTCCAGAGAATGTTTTCCCAAAGTCTTGAGGACCATCAAGATGTGAGACAAGCCTGTGTTCTCTATGATTAGCAGTAGTTTTTGCCTTAGAGTTTTCCCATGGATGTCTTTTAGTCTCTTTCTGACTTTTGAATCATGAACTCTGACCTTAACTGAGCCAAGTGAGGCCTACGGTTTGTCAGATGTTGTTCTGGGTTCTTTTGTCATCTCCTGGATAAGTCGCTGATCTGCTCTTGGAGTAATTTTGGTAGGCCGGTCACTTCTACGAAGTTTCTCCGTTTGTGGATGTTAGCTCTCACCACAGATCGATAGAGTCCCAAAGCTTTAGAAATGGCTTCACGCCTTCTTAGACCGACAGATGAAGGACTTTGTTTCTCAGGTGTTCTTGAGTTTCTTTTGATGGTGGCATGGTGTGTTGGTTTTGATCTTTTAGCCTACTTTACTTCATTAAACAGATTTTATTTAAGCAATTTCTTGAGTCAACAGGTCTGACTGTAATCACTGATAAATCTGATTATCAAGGAGGACAATTACTTTCACACAGGGCTGGATAGGTTTAGCTTTGTACTTTAAAAACTGTATTTTGTCTAATATTAAAATTAGTTTCATGGTGTGAGACATTTAAATATAATGAATGAGCAAAAAAAAACAAAAAAAACAACAACAACAAAGGGGCAAATACTTTTTCACAGCCCTGTAGGAGCTGATATCCTTTAGCCACAGCTGCTCTTCGGTACTTTCAGTGCCAATTAGCAAGTGTCAGCATGCAAACACGCTAAAATGCCAAACAAAATAAAAACCGACATGTGAGCGCGTTAGCATGCCGATCACAGCGTTTAGCTCAAAAGCAGATTCTCAAACCTGTCTTTTTTGTATTTATTGTATGTTACAGAAGACACATATGAGAGGACACTGACAGTAGATGGAGAGGAAACCACGCTCATCGTCATGGACAACTGGGAGAACGACAAACTGGTACAGTGTGTTAATATCAATATAGTAACTAAAACTAGAAAGTACATTTGGTTTCTATCACTCATTGAAAAGTGCTTTTCAATAAAATGATTTTACATAAAAAACAATAAGGAGCCTAAAAAAATCATGCTACATACATTCATGCTGTTTACATAAAATAACATATCCTCTAACCAAAATTGCAGATATCAGCAGTTTCTAAAAGATGGAGGAAAAAAAACATATTTAAAGACAGTTACAGAGTCTTGAAATGACAGCAAAGGCACCAGTGATCTGGAAGTAGGCTTAATGATCGGGACGTAACATGTCTGCCACATACAGCATGGCTGCACGTGACCATTTAAGGTTTTAAATATAAATAGTGCAACTTTACACTGGATTCTGTAGAGCACAGTGAGCCAGTGCAAGGCTGCCAACGCTGGAGTAATGTGATCTCTCTTTTTTGTCCCAGTAATTAATCTGGCTGCAGCATTTTGAACTAATTGCAGACCAGCAAGAGTGACTGACTAACTCTAGTATACAGTGCATTAAAGTAGTCCAGTCTACAGGTAACAAAAGCATGCATAACCCTTTGCAGATCTAGTGGTTTAAAAAAATTATTTTAGTATGGAGAATGTTCTGAGCTGAAAGAACGTTTTTAACCACAGCATTGATTTGTTTGTCGAATTTCACATTTTTCTAAAAGATTTTTCCATTGGTTTTAACCTCTATTTCATTAAAAGGGTAGTCAAAGATACCAGGTTATCCTTTAACCTCTCAGTTAAAAGTGGAGAGACAAACAATATGATCTCTGTTTTGGACTAGCTCAGCTGCAGAAAACTGAGACATCCCAATTTTCTATACCCAAAAAGCCCTTACACTTTATTTAAAAAAATAAAAATTATTGTGGAAACTAAGCGACAGTTTGAAACTAAACTGAACTCAAAACCACGGTGTGTCCGTGTGTTACAGAGTAAGGCTGTAGGGCAGGCCAGGAAATTTACAGTGTTTGAATCTCTGGGTTTCACAGCCACATAAAAAAACAATAACAATGGTAGGGAACTGTGTCGAGATGATAATATTTCTTTTAAAAACAAACTTTTCCTATGTTGATTAAGGTTTTATTTTAGGATCTCTAAAACATAAACTTGTCGCTTTGACACAGCAAAATGAATTTTACCAAAAGAAATAAGATATGGTTGATAAAAAAACGACCACAAAAAGTAAACATCTCAAGGTGTGCACAAATACAAATAATATGAATACGTGTGTCAGTAAGTTTGTTTTTTTCACATTAATGTGAAATTCGGAACAAAGTGTTCTGTTGGAGCAAATTTCATAACTAAATTTAACAAACATGTTGCAAATGCCCTAAAATGTACTAAAAAGCCTGTACAATAAAGTTCTTTCTACCTTGGTACCATTAAAAAAAGATTCTTGAGCTGCAAAGCAGTATAATTTATAGTGGCCATTTGCATAGCTCTCTGGTTATGCGTAGAGGATTATGAGTTAAACCAGTGCAGGGGCTACAGACGTGTGTGCAGTGTAAGTCACTAAAAAAGTTGGACAACTTTGTCCAGCACAAGCAGCTTAAGAAGTAGGCATTCATTATGTGAGTATTCACAAAGAAGCTGATAACATCTGATTTAAAGTCTGGGTTCAACCTTCTCTGTGTTTAGGTTTCCTGTCAGGAGGGGGAGGATGGCCCCTCTCACAATGACTGTCTGAAGGTGGGGAGTGCTTACGTCATCGTCTACTCGGTCACCGACCGCTCCAGCTTTGATTCTGCTGCTGAGCTCCGCATCACGCTCCGACGTACCCGCCAGGCCGAAAACCTTCCCATCATCCTCGTAGGAAACAAGAGTGACTTAGTCCGATCGAGAGAAGTTGCTGTGGAAGGTGGAGTGCAAGTGCAAGACGTACATAAAAACACATAAAAACTACAAAAGTACTAATAATGAATTCATGCTACTATATTAATATGTCTGTGTCATTTATCCCCAGAGGGCCGAGCATGTGCAGTCGTGTTTGACTGCAAATTCATTGAGACGTCAGCGTCGCTTCAGCACAACGTGACCGAGCTATTTGAGGGCGTGGTCCGACAGATCCGCCTTCGTCGAGACAGCACCGAGGCCATTCAACGCAGGCGCTCCGTTTATAAACGGAAAGAGAGCCTCACTTGTAAGGCCCGGCGCTTCCTGGACCGACTGGTGGCACGTAACAACCAGCGCATGGCAGTGAAAGTGCGGTCCAAGAGCTGCCACGACTTGGCCGTTCTGTGAATTTGTCCGCCAGCAAGTTTTTTGACTCACTAGAGCTCTCTCTGGTCGTGATAATAAGGACGTTAGAGTCTCCGGTGATTCTAACGCGCAGCGCCAGACAAGTTCAGCAGTGAACTACATCAGACAGTAACATAGTTACTATGATCCTGTTGATCATGTTTGAGCATCTGGTGTTAACATTTGTGGAACTATAACAGCAGATGACTTAAATATTGAGATACCAAACAGTTAAGTGTTCAATGTTCATTGTGAGAGTGTGTTCAGTGTGTGTGGATCATGTAATGTAGTTTCCACTGTGTCGCTTGTGTTGTTTTCCTGAGGTTTTGACTGTTTTTAGTTCCCCACTGTGCAGAATAAAGTCTTAATTAAGTCTTAAAGGAATAGTAATCTCAAAATCACATTTTTCACAAAGAACATGATATTGATATGTTATTATTTATGATGATGCCATATTTGTTTCCAAGTTAACTGCTTTTTTGAAAATTATTTGAATTTACTAACTGCTTTTTGTGTCTATTTTTAAAGGATGCATGTGGCCACTGTGCCATCAACTCAGACTGTCACTTGGTTTTTGAAACCAGTGATGTCCGTAGTTAGAAAATGGAGTGCTAGACAGCTTAGTTAACAAGCTACAAGACATGTAGCATCATAGCACAGATGTAGATTCCTGCTGATTTGAGTTTTCACTCACCAACTCAACAGCACCCTACTGAATAGGGTGTAGTCTTATTAGACAACAATCAATTCTACCGGAAATTTAAAAGCCTCCGACAGGACACCAACACTGCAAACATGGTGAAGAAGTCAATTTCACTGACTTGAATGAGAAGAGCTGTGGTGTGAAAACGGATACCAGATATTGCCTGTGTTGGTACACCTCAACTTTAAGCCCTAAAATTGAAAAGGATTTTTTTAAAATCATCTAACCACCATGAATGGTGGATGGATGATTGGCATTTTAAGCGCCAATCTCCGGATTTGCTTCTTAATACCTGAAATTTGTTCAGAATTTGGCTCTTCTGCTTTCTCATCTAATATAAGCTGCTAACATTAGCAATTTCAGCTAACTAGCGTAAGCCAAGCACTGGCGCATCATAAACTAACATTAACTAACATTTTGTTGGGTTACAGGTTAAATTTGAAAAAGCAAAGGACACACACACACACAGTGTACGCAGTTTCATATTTGTTTTCAGAGTGTACAGTTTCATTTATTTTGAAATATACTAGTTAAATATTCTCATCCGATTTATTCTTTCCCTCCAGTTAAAATCTTTTCTCTGCAGGAGACCCAGGGATCAAATCTGTGTTTCACTTCACATAAACACACTGTCAGGCCTGCTGGATATTTACTGTTGTCTTGGTGAGCTGTGGCCCATTGAAGAAGAGTTTGTTTACTGAGAGGTCGCCATGACGACACAGTCACATCTTGACATCTCTGTATGGTTGACATAAAGCAGGTGAGTGTTTGGGATGGTGACTTTTTATGGGATTGAACCTAACATCTACCTGCTGGAAACACACAGTACTTACAGCAACTCCCAGTTTCCACTGTTAAAATATGAATGTTGTGAGCACAAGTAAGACAGACATGAAGGATTATGAATATGCAACCAACACGGATGTACCTGCATGCAAGCCTCCAAAAAAATATATGATTGGTTGAAAAGCAGGTTGTAATGGAGAGAGAGCAACAACAAAGACAAAAACAATATTTTACTTCAGGAGCTAATTTAAGGGATCGGTTGTCCCACATATTTTGACACTGCCCCCTGGTGACAGTGCACAGCTACTACACATAGACTAAGGCCTGAAAAACTCTAACAGGCCACATACAGCCCACTTTGATCATCTTTTTCTACACGATAAATAAAAGCCTGCTGTGACAAATCAAAACATCTGTCAGCTTGACTCTTTGGACTTACATTGTAATAAAAAAAATAAAATTACAGAAATAGTTCCTGCAGCTAATTGCCCAGACTGTCCAGTTTGTTGTTGTTGTTTTTTGTCTTTTTTTAACTGTACTCATAAAAAATGAATTTTACAGTAAAAAGTGAACAAGATAAATTTTTCTGTTTTTCACAAAGTTACAGAGGTTTTATTATACAAATAGCTAAGCGTTTTGCGGTTTGACATAATTTGTAAAAGTTGAAATTTCCTTGAAATTGAATTGCAAAATTTTTTTGTCAGAGGCGGAAAAACAAAAAACAGTGGCCAACATCACTGTACACAACAGTAGAGTGGTAATAAGCAAGCAAATAATGCATGAAATCGAGATCTCTTATGGAAAACTGGTCTCAAAGCAAACAGAGAGCTATGCAGGAAGTGCACTTTTTATCATGGTCAAATTCAGGTAATTCATTACAATGTTTTTCAAACGTGAAGTGTAGTTGTGGTCTTCTTTTGCTGTTGGTTCGCACTTTGTGTTTACATATTTTTGTAGAATCTGTTTGGACTTTAATTGTTTGCTGTTTTAGCTGTTCAGCGGTTGTTGAAATGGTTTTGTGAGCTTTTAGCTGATATTCTGACATTTCTGTCAATACCACACATGTCTATATTTAAATAACAGATCCAGCAGTATATCGTGTTAAACCAGATGTTCTCCCTCTCGCCTCAGAGAGGTACAGAGATTGGGGTTCAACAGGTTAATTGTTTATTGCTTAATTACTTTGAATAGTATGAATAACCATTGGGAAGTTTTTTATAAGTAGGAAAAGCTGAAAACTTATGAAAATACAGTTAAAAGTCCAAAATGTGCTTGTTTGTGATGAGCAGCAGATCAAGCAAATTAAGAATTAAAAATGGCTTCAAGCGCACATTCAGGCCTGTGAGACTAATTTAAACACTCAGACACTGAGCCATGGCTCTGTGCTACATGCACACATTTCTGCATCTCTGCTACTCAAAGCAGGGCTGAAGATTCGGTTCCCAGATACCGACAGGTCATTAATAACTGACATATGAAATTATCATGCAGGATGGATATAAGTCTATCGTACAGGGCCATATGTTTGACACCTCTGAACTTCACCGTCTCAGCGACATATATTCAACTCCTTTAATCAGGTTTTACTGTAAGATTTACTAAAAGATTTAAGCTTAAAAAATAAAACTTAAAAATTAGGTTGCTACACATTGTCATATTTCTAAATATTGGCCATTCAAAGGAAGGTTTTAGTTATATTTTTTAACTGTGACTCATGCAAAGCTACTCTTGTGGTGTTCCAGAATAAAAGGATGGCACTAGAGTAGGTCATTTTATCACACCAAAGGCAATTTTCATTGAATCAGTTCAAGTCAATTCAGTTTTATTTATACAGCACCAAATCACAACAACTGTCACCTCTGGTTGTTTTATACCATAAGGTAAAGACCCTATGACTGAGCACTTTGCAATAGTAGGAAGGAAAAACAAGAGAAAGAAGAGGTGAGGAGAGGGGAAAAGAAGTTATCAGTGCATCACATGAAGTCCTGAAGCATAGACATACTACACTGTTATTCAAATTTTCCTTTGGCTAAAATCCTGCAAAATAAAAGTAGTGTTCAAAAAACAATATTACAAAAAGAAAAAACTGTCTTTAGCAGCATAACTAAAGGATGGGTTCAGGGTCACCTAATCGGTAACTATGAGCTTTATCAAAAAGTAAAGCTTTGAGTCGATCTTAAAAGTAGAGAGGGTGTCTGTTTCCTGACAGCTGGTTCCACAGACGAGGGGCATGAAAGCTGAAAGTTCTGCGTCCTTCCTTCTTTAATAAACTCTAGAAACCAGAAGAAAGCCTGTAGTCTGACAGCACAGAAAATATGGTACCATGAGGTATCTGAGATATGGTGAGGACTAATTATTCATAACTTTTTATCATGCCGCACATCACGAATGTGTAGCACTTTTCTATTTAGCACTAAACACAAGTTTGAGTTTTTACTGCTTATCCTGGTGTAAAATGCTATTGAGTCACTGCTGAGGTATTTCTCTCAAAGCTAAAGATCACAGACTGTTGGCGATGCTCAAAGAAAAGTAAGAATAATGAACCAGTCACTAAAAAATTCACAGAATTGAAGCAGACATGCTGTGAAATAACATCAAGCAGCTTTCCATCAACAGCAGTTTATCTGGAACCCACATCGACAGGGCGGTCGTCCCAGTTTTTCCTGATCAAATATCCTATCTGTTTATTGATCAAGCATTCCAGTGACATACATTTACACAAATACACACACTCACTCACACACTGCAGCTGTACAGGGACAGTAGATGGAGGAGGGCTGTTGAACATTGATTTGATGAGGGTAATGGAAAGAATGCATGACTCTGCTCAACCCGGATGACACATACACACACTCATGCTCCCAGGCGCACACACACCACACACACACACACACACACACCACACACACACACACACACCACACACACAATGAGGTGTAAACATCCTCTCAGTGGAGGAGGACCAGACTGAACTGTGAGTTCAACTCCCTCCCGAATCTGTTATGAATAGAAACTTTAAAGTGACTTATTATGCTTATATCTAGCGCCATCAGTTTTTATTCCTAAATTCTTCCAGAGTAGTAGAGAAACACGTGGCTATATGACGAATATTCCCACTCATTTACATTGTACAGAACCAACAATAGACAAAAACTGTCCAAAACTTAAGCACTTTGAGTATCCTGAAGCTTAAGATTTTCACTCAGAGAATACGTGTGCTTGTACTTTTTTCAGCTGCTCCCTTTAGTGGTCACTACCAGAGATGGGCAGCGTTACTGTAATCCGATTACTTTTTTCAAGTAACGAGTAAAGTAAGGGATTACTATTGCAAAAACGGTAATTAGATTACTGTTACTTTCCCGTAGGAACGCTGCGTTACTGCGTTACTAAAACCGTGATTTTTTTTGCGAGTGTCTCATGACAGTGACGTAAGCGAGAGCGACATTCGTGACAACAGCTGTGTGCGGATCAACAATGGATAATATAATGAGTGCAGGAGAGAGTTTGAGCATGCAGCGTTTAAAGCGTGGAAGTACTGAGCTTACTTTGAGTTAGATTCCATAAAAAGTGACAAAAACATTAGTGTCCGTTGTACGTGGGAAGAAAACTTCTTTTTACAGCGAAAAAAACCCCTAAACAAGCTCCGAGTGCGCTACCACGTAATGGGAAATTCACAGAGAAACTCACGGATTCTTCCACTGACCGCTGCGGCACACCTGCACCAGGGTAAACCTCCGCCTACCCCACTCCTGCTTTACAGGTGAAAACAGAGCAACAGGACCGCTACTCTTTGATTTTATTTATTTTCTGCTGTGTTTTACTTGCATCTATTTGAAAGACTGAGTGTAAACACAAAAAAATATTTTATTTTATGTGCTGGAATGTGCAGAAAATCGGTTTAAATGTTAAACTAATTTCTTCAAGTCAGAGAATGTTGCATATAATTTAATTTTTGCTTGATGCATAAAGTTAAAAGATTAAAACTAATAAAACAAGTTTTAAAATTCAAATTCAAATTTTATTTGTCACACACACAACCATACACAGTATGACATGAGGTGAAATGCTTGTAGCTGTGCAATGCAATGCCCGACCATTAGATGACAGTGGTTTTACAGTATTTACAATTTACAGGTTATTACAAAATTTACAGATTTAACTTGGAAATTTACAGTAAATTACAGGAAGTGTGCATGAAGAAAAACCAGAGTGCGTGTGGTGATGTAACGTGTGTGGGAGAGTCCAGTCCTACACCTGGTTCAGGGCCCGAATAGCCTGGGGGAAGAAGCTCCTCCAGTCCTCATTGTCTCTGTTTTGGCCTTAAGGGAGTGGAAGCGCTTCCCAGACCTCAACAGTGAGAAGAGTCCATTGTTGGGATGGGAGAGGTCCATCATAATCTTCCTAGCTTTGGTCTTGCACCGCTTTGTGTAGATGGACAAAAAGAGACGTTTCCATTTGATTACATTTTGTATGATGGATTATGCAGAAAAAGTAGAATTGGGCTGAAAGATCTATCGCTTTATCACCTATTCAGGTTGGGAATCGTGTTTTTAAAAAGTAACTAAGTAACTAAGTAATTAATTACTTTTGAAAATAAGTAATCAGTAAAGTAACGGGATTACTTTTGGGGGGAAGTAATCAGTAATTAGATACTGATTTCTTTTTTCAAGTAACTTGACCAACACTGGTCACTACAGTGGATCATCTGCCTCCATCTTACCTATTCCCAGCATCCTCGCCTGTCACACCAACATTCCCCATGTCCTCCTTCACTACATCTATGGCGCTTGTCTGTGGTCTTTCTCTTTTCCTCCTGCCTGGCAGCTCCATATTTACCATTCTTTCCCCAATATATCCACTATCCCTCCTCTGCACATGTCCAAACCATCTCAGCCTTCCCTCTTGAACATTGTCTCCAAAATCCTCAACCTGAGCTGACCCCTCGCCTCTGATGTACTTATTTCTAATCTTATCCATCCTGGTCACCCCCAAAGAAAATCTTAGCATCCTCATGTTTGATTTGGCAAAGATTTTATGACGGATGCCATTCCTGATGTAACCTTCCTTATTTATCTAGTCTTGGGACCGGCACTTAAAGTAAACTGTCTTGCGTCCCTCCCTGTAGCTAGCTTATTACTTGTACTTGCACTGATGTCATTATTTAAAGCTTTGGTCATGTTTAAGATAAGTGTCTACCAGTAGACACTTATCTTTGTACTTACACTTGTAACAGGAGAAATCCCAAGCATGCATAATAGGTCCACCACCAGCAAAAACAGATGACGCCCACATAAGGAGTCAGCCAGAGTGACAGAGGCTGAAACAGTGCAGCGAACCAGCACACCACATATTATGCCTCAAGTGTCTTAATATTGCTTTTGCACTTATCATCTAGGTGGGTTACATCTACTTATTTTGGTTTAGGAAAAGATCACATTTTTGGGTCGCAATCTAAACCCTACATACCGACATGTTGCTAAAAGGCATCTAATGTGTTAACATGTGGCTAAGGCATCCCGCCTTTAAAGTCTCTGATGAGCTATGATGAGTAAAATAGTCTCTGCTCGGCCCTTTGTTCTTTTACCTGTAAAATCATGAAACACTGTACATGGCTAATTGCTGAGCAACAGGCAAACCTGAATGTCACAGACTGAGAGAAACCCTCTGTGGGTATATCTGCACCTTAACACGCTGCCACTGACCTCAGGCTTATTCTTAATACATTTCAGACCCTTTGAGGTGCGTTTGATTTGCCGACATGGAGTACAGAAGAGAGAAAATCAAGCACTCGCCTGTGTTTATTTAAACTGAACAGTTTCCACTCTGTATGTGTCCATGTCTCTGGTTCAGTGTGCAGACATCAGTCCTGTAACTCTGCCTCTTTATTCACTGTGACACGATGAAGATCTACAGGAATGTAAACTGACTGCAGTTTAGCTTCATGATACTGTGGCTCCACCTGGTGGCTGAATGTTGTTTTCTTTAAAGATGTAGTCAGCCATTTTTTGAGTTGGTTTTTGGGTTTTTTTGTTGTTTTGGGGGGGATAAAAAAAGTTTTGTAATTACTTCTAGCAAACTGATGACATACATGTAACCCAGTTCCTGGAACCTGCCATATGGCCCCGCCCCTACATCTTTTTTGTTTTTGTTTTTTACCTGTCCATCAGTTGTAGCAAGCAGAATCATGGTCTGAATGCTTTGTTGAGCCAAACTTATTTACTTTCCCAAGAGGAGCACCATAGTGTTTTTAATTGTTTTTGTTTAATTAATTATTTAATTTCTATTATTGGTGTTATTATCTGTGTGGATATTATGCTGGAGCAGACAAGGAAAAAAGGCCAGATTGGCAAAAGATAGAAGACAACGGGGGAAAGGGGGGATGGAAAAAAGGACAGAAAAGAAGGGGACGGGGGATGAAACAAAAGACCCACAAGAAACCGGATGCCGACGGACCCCAAGTAAGCTGAAGATCTGAGGCCACATGTCCTAATGACAAACGTGTCCACCCCAGGGAAGCCAAGGGAAAGGGAGGTTCCAGACGTCTTGATGCATGCTCAATCATCCAGGTAAGGAAATGCCATCTTGATGCAGCGTTTTCAGTGGGAGAAACATTTCATAACTCATCCAAGTGACTTCTTTAGTCTAATCTGACTGCAGGTTTCCCAACCTTATAAACAATACATTGCACAGTGACTGAAACTAGCACTACTGAAAGAACAATGGGCTGGAAGGTCAGTTCCTTGATGATTAATCAATCCGTCCCAGATGGAGCTCCCACAGCAAAAGGCATGAGTGCCAGGGGACTACAGGCAGCGGCAGACCCTGCGGCAAGCCGAGGATAGGGCCCCGAGAACCCCCCAACACAGCAGGTTATGACTTTATGTCAGCTAATGTTAGACTCGAGTGTCCTAAAAATAACACTTTCCTTCTGATAAATAAATAGTTTGACCACATTCTCATACAGTATGAGAGCTTATTAAGTTAGTGTCAAGTTCAACTGTGTTAGATCCACTTGAAAGACATTTTCAGTAATGCTGGCTAACAGCAGCTAACAGTGGAAAAAAGCGGGGCTTACCAACAGAACATTTAAGGATATCCTCAACAACATGTGAAGTAGAACTGTTGTAAAGGCTCACCTTCTAGCACATTCACTTCACCAGATGCACCTTGTTTCTTTTCCTCACATTTGATTGGGTGTGGTGCTTGGCCTTAATTGCACTCACCTGTCACTCGTTATATAAGGACTGCACTCACCTACCCCTCACTCTTTCTTCACTCCCACATGGGGCGGCAGCTGAGGTGAGTTTCTCTTTGAGTCTCCTGAGTTCATGTATCATTTTGAGTTACTTAAATCATACTTTATGTCCCTTTTAGAGAGAGCAGTCCATGTGTGTCTTTCTTTCCTTTACCCGTTATACAATATACAATAAAACAACAAAACCTGCACATGATTGATGACTGCTTATTCTCATTCTAATCGGATGAGCCCATGATGACGACTACTGAAACCCTGAACCTTCCTTCCTCCAAAACAAGAACAGTGTATTTGACTGGCATTAGACTCCTTTTAAAACGTTTTAGAGCCTTCTCTAGAGTAAATAGATGAGACTCACCTGGCATATCAAGGTAAACAGCTAACTGACAGCCTTGCAGACCTAAACAAAAAAAAATATGATAGGACAGATCTGAGGAACCCCAGTTTTTGCGGTGACTTGGGGGTAAAAACGCATACTGCAAAATATGGCTATTGAGTCAATTTTTTTGTTTGTTTGTTTATTTGTTTGTTCTTGTTTTCTTGTTTTTTGCTGACTAAAGCACATTTTTCCTACAACAGCCATTATAGCTAGGCGGTAAGAAAACAGAAATCAGTGGACTGCAGTTTGTAATCTTGTGACCTCTAGTGGTAAGAATTTACACACTTTAAACTGAAAAAGGTGCATTTCTCTTTAAATACACGAGTTTGTAAAAGCAATACACAAACAAAAAAGTCAGATTTGCTTTGTTTTTCATTCTCCCACAATATGTTTATTCATATATGGCCTCTCAGTTTTGCTTTTCTGCATTTGGCGCAAATGCAAAAGAAAAACATTTTGAAGATGTTCCACAGTTAAGACGTGGGTCTAATAATTGTAGTATTTATTCCTCTCATCCTGTTTAACATTTAATTTCTATCTTTGTTTATCTATTTTTACTGTCTTTTCCTTAACTACCACCGCCTTTGCCACTGATGTAGTGTATAGGCTGTAACTTGCCCTGTATCATACAGACATACCGAACACGTTGCGCTTTTGCGCAATTTGGTCCTGATGTTCCCAAGCCAGGAAAGAAAAAGACGGAGATTCTGAGTTCATCAGATTCTTAGAGAAGGCATTTATGTTTTGATCCAGGAGCTGAAACTGTACGATGGCCGCTTTTGAACGTATTTCAAGATGTCAGTGCAGTTTAAGCTCTTGTTAGCAGAGTGGGGACCACACACCTGAGAAGGCCTATTTTGCTGTGTGCCTGAGGTAAAATAGTTGTTGTTGTTGTTGTTTTTAAACTATTTTTACTATTAAAATTATTTTACTATTTCCGTTTCATTGTATATTCAGTACATGCACGCGATTTGAGCTCTGCTGGTTGCCAAATGCAGTGTTCTGATTGGTCAGATCTGTTAATTCAGATTCGAAACATCGGGAAAATCGAGCTTGGTCGGTGTGAACAGCTGCATGAAAAATAGATGAGTCCGAAAAATACTTACAAATATTACGAAATATATATTTCGTGCGAAATATAAAATACGCATGAAATATTCGCACAGCTTTTATGTGTGAAAGTTCCTCATAATCCGCCCTCGTAGGGGGCGGATTATGAGAAATGACTTTTCAGGAATGTCGGCGCCTCCTACTAACCTGAGAACAATTTTACTTGAATAGAAAAGCTGTGCCAACACGCCTGGAGAAGAAAAAAACAGCTTCTGACACGTTACTTGTTGGTTTGCAATACGATAGAGGCAGGGCTTCATTTCCTTTCTGTCACAGAGGAGACACAGAAGAAAATAGAGCCGCTATTGTTCTCTCCGACCCAATATCAAAGTTTCAGGTAGACTAAGAATAGTTTTAATTCTGTCTTTATATTTATTCTTTACCCTCAGACCTTTACCCACCACCAGTCTGCTGGTGAGGGAATAGAAATGACAACAGTCGTTTAAACATTAGTTTATTGATATTGATATTTGACGTAGGGGCTGATACAAAGAGGTCCTAATTACATGTATTTCGAAGGTTGCGCGGCGGAGTTAAATCAACGGATCCTGTGTGGTTACCATAAAACCGAGCTGGTCTACTGAGTGGTTGATCTGCAGCAGAATGAACAGCGCAGGTAAGAAGTGAAATAGCAGGACAGCAGTCACCCTGCACAGACACCGAGTCCATGCAGGACACACGAAGGATGCAGGGCTGAGCTTCTGGTAGTCCAGCAGCAAATATGTTCCAGCAAATGCAAGGTGCATTTTTAAGGTTTCTTTGAAGTTTTTGTTTTTTTGTTGTTGTTTTTTTTATTCTGAGACTAGATAAATACAAAAAATTAAATATTCACTGAAATTAAATAACCTGCTGCCTAAACTTCTGTTAAATGGCGACCTGATATCAGTTAACCTGTTAATTGCATCATTTGGTTTTTATTTTCTCTCTGGGATTTATTTGTGCTTGAACAGCTTTACTTATAAACAGAGGTTGTTGTATTTTGTTGAGGAAACAATTCCAATGTGAATATTTTTTAGTTTTAGGATTTTCCTTTGACCTAAGTCCTGAAAGAAATGATGACTCTGTTTTTCATAGATGGATATACCTGTTTTTTCTAAAATAAACTTTTTTTTTTTTTTTTAAAGGGTGCTGGTAAAAGAAAGCCAAAAGGATTTTTCTTCTTATGTTAATTGTCAGCATTACCACCTCATTCAATTTTAATATAGCTATCGATATGGATGGATAATTTATATGGGTTAGTTTATGCATTTTATTGGGTTGTAATTCTCTTACACTGTAACATTTATCTTTTGGATGGCGGCACAAAGATTGAAAGAATGTGAGATACAGGGAGAAACCTGTATGAAGATGGGAGAGAAAAAGAAACAAACATCTACAAATCTCTGCCAAAATCAGCATCAAAGTTATAATGCTAAAGTAGCTTCTATTTTGCCCGCATACATATCTGCATTCAAGCACCTGAGCAAGGACTAAGCGACTCCACCTACTGTCCATTGTAGATAAAAGCAATCCATGACCTAGGGCTCTGAAGTGTTCTTGTTACAACATGTAGAAGGGGAAATAGGAGCCCTTTCAGTTGTATTCAGCTCTATTGAAATTAGGCTGAAAGACTTTTAAACAAACAAACAAACAAACAAACAAACCAGAATGACTCAGAAGAATAATATCTTAAAGAATACTAAGAACTGTAGAAGGGAAGTTAGACTGATTGCTGACAAGGGAAAAAGTGGAGGAAAGTGAAGCTCAGACTAGGACTTGGGACTCCAGGAATGTCCCACCGTGAGGAACCCCCAGGGCAAACCCAGGACTTGCTAGAGAAATTATATCTCTTGGCTAACTTGTGAGTGTCCTGGATGAGCTGGTTTGAGGGAAGCCTGGGTTTCTCTGCTCAGGCTGCTGCTTCAGTG